GAAATATCAACCTATTAGCTTACACGCACAAATCATTTTAATAAAATTACATCTAAAGAATCAGTTTCAAATAATTTATCCATATCCTATCTTTAATATATTTTTAAGTCATTAATGACTTAGTAATCATTAATAATTTTATAATTGGTATTTTGTTGAGTTTGAACTAGTTTTAATATGCTATTTTAGTGAAGAAAATGTTTAAAAAATGAAAAACCAAACTTCTACTTTTTTATGATTGTGTATTCCTTCAAAATCTTCAAAAGCACATTCACTTGTGTTCCATTCTTAAAAGGATTTTAATGAAGACAATAATTTAAAAATATTGCAGCAAAGAACATTCATATTTTTGTAACATTTGCATTTCATTTTTTTTTCCTCTCACATTACCTATGAATCTTCTTTTGCAGTTAATTGTATGATCATATTGAATTTTATTTGTTATTGATGCAGTCCATAACATATAAAATTCAGTGGTTATAGTTAGGTGACAAAACTTAAATTTTTTTATATACTTAAATAAAGAAGGGATTAATGTTAATTTTTTGTTCATACTTATTATCCATAGCAGATAATTCAAATGTTATTATTCACAATGTTTTTTAATGCAATAAAATATATGTTCCTGATTTTGTGGATTGATTGTTGGTTAATTTTAAGGTTTAGTCATGTAATTTAAAGTTTTCAATAAAGATTTCTTTTTGCAAATGTGTCACATCATACTGTTATAAATTATTGAAAATCATATATATTTTAGTAAATTAAATTATAAAATAACCACCAATGTAGACCTATGTTATTTTTTTGTTTAAATATTTAGACGAAGTATAATTTAAAAGTAATTTAATTTTTATTATACTTTTTTTAAGTCTTTTGATTTTTTCTTTATATTCTCTAATCTCTCTCTTTTTTTAAAAATAATATAGAAAAAATTTCTTTAATTTTGTACATTTTGTGAAAGAGAACTTAATGATTAGAATAGAAAGTAAAAATAATGTGATCTCTTGTTTTTATGTACATTTAATGAGATTTTTTATACGCTCACTAAATATATGATCTAATAAAACCTTTACTGTTTTGCTAAATTTATTTTGGAAAAAAAAAAACTGTAAGCTTGCCTTTTTTAGAATTTCTTGTCAGTAGTATGATTTTAAGTTTTTTGAGGAAATAATATAACGGAGATTTAACTTTTGATTTTATTGAATTTTATTTTTGTAATTCATTAATAATGAATAATTCATATTTAAAATTAAATTAAAGTTTTAAATCTGAGCAAAATCAGACTCTCTACTACAATCTGGATATTTCTTACTTGTATTCTAATGTAAAACCATTAGTTTTATCACCCTTAAAAATATAAACATTTTATTTTTAAAAAATGCAATAATTTCTTTACCTTGTTTTTGACAGAAATTAAAATATGTATTGCAATAATAAAACTGAATGAATTTTATATTTCATGTTCTAGTTTAGTTGTATTAATTATAGAAACTCTCTTTATATTCAAAGCTTTTTCCATTTTTTTAAAAATTATTTTTAGTAATCAGAAACATTTTACCGTAGTACAAGTTTGCAAAAATATACATTCAAATGGCTGGCCAACAACTTAACATTAAAAACATAAAATGGATTAAAAAATAATTGTTTTATCTTATAGGCAGTTTAGACATTAACATTCTACATTTAAGCATTCATATATCTGAGCAACAGTTTAACATTAAACTTATTGTATATCTTATAAAGGCTGTTTTACTTTTTACTAAGGAAACAATTATTTTGGCTTCTATGTCTGTTATTACCTATGAGTTATTTTAAACTCCATTATAGTCATCTTATTAATGGCTCTTTTTTGAGTCTTTATAGATGCAGCACACTTACATCATAATGCAAGGCTCTTGGGAGTTGGGGATAATCTAGAATTTTCTAATAATTTGATTTTGGTGCTAAAAATCAGAAAATAGTAAAAAAAAATACTTTCATTGAAAAAGAGAAGAAAAAAAACTAGGAAGTTCCTAACGTATGTGACAAAAGTCTAATCATAAAATTGTCAGTGGCAGTAATTGGTTAAAGAGGCTCAAATTAGAAAATTCTAACATCTGTTAGAACTATTCATTATGAAAATTTTACATTTTAGTAAAGTTTTTATCCATTTTCTTCATTTAGAGGTATTTTATTTCTCACAATATCTAGTATTTGACTACTGAAATTTAAATTGTGTTTTTCTGAAAAAAATTTCATATTTTAAATAAAATATGACCTAGACCATATTTTATTTATATGGTCTGGGTAATACAGCCATGTTGAAATATTTCTTAAAATGCCTGAAACAGTCTGAAAATATTATTTTAAAAATTACATGGAAACTCTATAATATCGATTATTTTTTAGAATTAATCTCAGCTGATTAGATATTGAGAGATTTATATTTTAATACTTTATTATACACCTTAAATTTAATATTTTACCTCTGCAACATTTTAAGTTGCTCAACACTGGTTGTGTGTACGTATAGTGATTGTAGTTCATGTACTTGTTTTTACCTATTATACGGAACAAACTCATAAAATGATTTTCTCATATTGTTGCGCTTATTTTATGTATATTTTTTTTAAATAAAAATGTAAAGATTAAATTTATTTGCATTCCCTGTAAGTCAGAGTTTTTTAAATTTATGTGGTATGTTTTCCAGTTGATAATTGTTAGAATTTGCTTTATAAAGTGATGCTGAATAAAACTTAACTTTTATTATTCTTTTCAGCTTTCATTTGCTCATTTGAAGGACATCTTTATAATTCCTTGCATCTTTTATTAACACATGTAACATAAAAAAATTATTCATTAAATAAATTGTTGTACTTGAAAAAAGTTTCTTAACTTTTTTATTTTTATTCAGTGATCAAATTGTGTTTCATTTACACACTGTTGCTTGATATAATTTATGCAGGCAACCAAGGATAATAGAATATTTACTAAAAAGTTTGTGTTAGTTATTTAGAAAAAGCTTCAGGCATGTTCTATTCAGAATTGGCAAGTTTTTGACACATGACGATTTTTACCGGTTTATACCATGGTTTATACCGTCATGTCAAAAACCCATAGTTTTGATAAAACTGTATTTTAATTTAAGTTAAACTGCTTATGATTTAAAATTAATTCATTTTTGGGCAATAAAATTAGAAAAAAAGTTGTTAAAAGATATTTAAGAACAGATTTTTGCATTTTCGTAACATGATTATATCAAATCATACTATTTGAAGTAAAATATTAGGATACTGAACAAAATTTTCAACATTTCCAAGCATCCTTTTGTTTGGCATATATTACATTACTGAAGAATGTCAAGTCATTCCTGACTTAGAGTTTGTTAGTAGTTACAAGTTTTGAAAGTTTTGTTTAGCTTATTTCTAATATTTAAGAAATGCCAAATTTTAAATTCTTCTTTTTAGTTCTTGAATTTATTAATAATTCCAAGTTTTTTTGCTTGTTTGTTTACTTCTAAGAATTAAGAAGTGCAAAATTTTGAATCCTTTGCAATTCAAGCTATAGTGATAAAAGTTAAGTATCACTATTTTCAATAAGTATGTTACAATATTTCTGTATGAATGTAAATACTTCTATAAAAATACGTGTATATAGTTGCAAAATCAATAGCAATCACTTACAACATTCATTTATAAAGGCAATTAAGTGAAAATAATATATTATCCGCTATATGCCATAAATTAAAGAAAACAGTAGGTTTTTGACGGTTTTTACTGGTAAAAACACGGTTTTTACCACTGTCATGTCAAAAACCAGTTTTTGACGGCAAAAACCCAACCCTGGTTCTATTGTCAGCATACTAATTTTGAGTAGAGTATCTCTTTTTTCCAGATGTATGTTGAAAATAAAAATGTGTTTCTTATTTTTGAAAATACAAAGTGCTCATCATAAATTTTAGGATTATTTTATTTTTTAGGATTTTTTTTTTTTTTTAAGTAATTGAAATTTTTGTAACTTCTTATTGTACCAAATTATATTATGATAATAATCTTAATATTAATATTAATCTAAACTTAAATTCTTAATATTAATCTAAACAATCTATTTGGCTATTAATGTATCCTATTTAGATAGCAAGTATATAATTTATAAAATAAACAACTTTTTTAAATATTCAAAAAATCAAGTTCAAAAAATCTCAAAATTTTTACATATTCTACCTGGTATGTTAGTCTATAATATGTGTGCCTGGATGTTTTACATGTGCAAACATCTTTCTTGAATATTACGAAAAACATATCAATTTACTTATTGAAGATAACTGTTCCTTTAACTTATTACCTCATAATCATCCTCACTTAATGGAAAGATAAAATAACACATTAAAAAAATAAGAATTAGAAGTATTAAATGGAAATTAATTTTAAACAAAATGTAATATAAATAACCTGCTTTAACATTTTGAAATTTTGTTTTAAAACTCGAAGAAGATGTTAACTTTTAGATGTTACTATTTCTTACAAGCTGGATTTTTCATGTTTTTTTTCTCCCTCCTCTGAGGAAGAAACTTACCTTCTTCTCCTTAAAACAATACATTTTTAAGAGCTTCTTTTTAAGAATAGTTCAACATCCTCTTATTTGTCTTGCTATGTCGGTTTAGACAATTGTTAGCAAATTATATGTTTAGAAATATATACTATTTTACATATAGTATTTGAAATATATGCTGTGAAATAAATAAAATGTCTTCAATTATCATTGAATTTAATTTTTTTCTGTTATTTTCTATCAATTTTGTTTGAAAAATTTTAAAAAAATAAGCAAAAGAAATTTATTTACGATGTGAAAGTTACTCCCATTAGATTTTGTATTAATGATTTTAGAATTATGAAACTTTTTATCTTAAATCAGGCTCTCAGTTTTCAACAATCGAGCTCAAAGGCTGTGTCTTCGTTAAAATAATGCTAGAACTGTTACAAATCAAAAGAACTTTGGAGTTATTTTAAATAAATAAATCATTTTTGAGTTAAGTTGGTTTTATTTCATAATTTCAAAATATAAAACAGAAGTAGCAACGTTCTTTAAATCTTTCGTCCGTGAAACACATTTGCTAAAGTAACATAAGATTCACACTGTCTCCCATTCTGAGTCTCCCCTTTGAGGGAATATTTGAATTTTTAAAAACCCCTTTAAAAAATCTATCTTACCAAACTTCAACTGGTTATTTCATTTTAGTGTTTCTCACTTATCTGCATTTTTATTTAAAATTTAACTTTTGATTATGAACTTAGTTTAATTTTTTTTTTTTTAAATGCAGCAATGTGAACCTTGTATTTTCAAACTGAATTTAATTTCTGAATTCTGTCTGTACGTTCAAAACTATATATGGCAACTGTTTTGAAACATTTTGTTATTAACAGATTTCAATATAAACTCCCGATTCTTAAAACTTTTAAAAGGTTCAAGAAGTTTTCCTTGATATAGTTAATAATACCAATAAATTGAAAAATATATGATTACAAATGTTCACCTTAAGAATTAAGGTTGTCCAATTTGCATTTCTATATATTTTCTTCAATCAATCAATATATTTCCTAGACGAACCCTTTATATACCATATATGAAGAATTATGATGCTTCAACAATAGAGTTTAAAACAAATGACGAAAAAATAATGAATAGTTTTTTTTTCCTTTTTAGCCATATTTTATAATTTTTCAAAATCATTGTAGGATGCATCCCTGATGGACCCATAATTTGCCACGACCTGCTAACAGCTCATTGAAAGTACAAATTGTTTTCATTCACATTTTCATACGTTTCCTTTTGACTGAACTATCAATTAATTCATTTCCTTCTTTTGTTGTTCAGCATAAATGTTTACATAAATACACACAGACTTAAATTGTGTGTTTGCGATTTAAACATCTCAATTTCATGGAAATTTCAAAGATTTCTATATCTATAAAATTATGCTTTATATATTTTGAAGTAAACTATCATGTTAGAATTTTAAACAAAATAATCGCTATATTTATCCACAGAAGGCACATTTCTTAATTGTTGAAAGGCGTAGGTACATTATAGCAGAGTATTTCTAGGTAACCATTGGAATAAGATATCTGAGGTAAGGGCTGAGCAATAAATTTCTTCTGTAATAACTTCAATATCTGTAATGATATGTGATAGTGTCAGAAATGACATGTTGGTGCTTCAAAGGTTATGTCACACGTTGAGATACAATCATTATTCGTAAGGTAATTACAATCTTACATTTTTTTAAAGTAGCATGATTGCCGCCGAACTGTTTCTTTGTGTTTGAGCTGTGATTCAAAATAAATATAACATGACCTTTTCGTCATGTTCTCACGGAATAACTTAAAATATGCCATCTTATAATCTTTCCTGGCAAAAAAAAGCGATTTTGTTCCTTCTGAATTGTAATCATTTTTGATTGTACGCATTTCCGCTTCAAACTTCTTGTTTTGATGAGGAAGAATTTACGGGGCTAGTTGGTGAAAACTTAATTTCCACTCCAGATTCATCTTTGTTTTTATTCTTGGCGCACTTTTCGACACATGGGATGAAGAATAGCATGATGCCACTGATTGCAATCATAGAGCCTGATACATAGAATCCTGGGTCATAAGAGCCAGTATAATCATAAAGCCAACCTGAAAACAATAATAAAAGGAAATAAGTAAGTTCTAACTATTTTTCGAATTTTCTGTAAACTGTCGAGGAAACGTTGGTGTTTTATTAAACTGTATGCTATAATATAACTTATATTAAATTAAAATATAGATATAGAATTATTGGCATTTCCTGTTGTGCAACTTTTCTTTCAAAAGTATGTAAAAATATTAACTTGGTACAGATAATATAGAATTAATACTTGACACAGGACATGATTATTTTTTTTACTTTTTGATACAGAATTTAAAGTTTCACTAATATATTTATGAATTATCAATTGATATATTTGATTTAGAAAACAAGCTGATCTCTATTCTATTTTTCTTGAAAATTCGACCCATTGTTTGAGAATTGCCCTGTCATGTGAGAGCAATAGAAAATATTTTTCAAAAATGTTTTAACATAACTTTGAATTTTCAATGTTTTTTACGCGTTTCTAAAAAATCGCGATCTGCGATATCTGAAAAAACAATGTAATCTTGCATAACTCGATGTTTTAGAATTACCCTGTCATGCGAGAATAATATAACATCTTTAACGAAATTATTATTTTAACATAACTTAAAATTTCGAATTTTCAAATGTTTCTTACAAATTTCTAAAAAGTCAATATCTTCCAAATTTTTTTTAAAAAAAACTAATGTTATTTAGCATAATTTGATGCTTTAGTTTTGAAATAAAAGTAATTAAGGGAATTTCTTCAAAATATTTATTTCATGCAAATTTACTTTAGAAATAGAAAAAAAAAGTATATGGATGAAATGGAATTTTAAAACTTGTTTTTCACTGTGTTTAGCACTAGCATTTTCACTTTTACTCATTTGTTTTTTAGGTACTTAAAAAGTTATACATTTTAAACAATTCTTTGTTGTTATTTAAATTTTATTAGTTTTTCCGTTTTAGTTGTTTCACAATTTAGATGTGGGAGTATATTTACCTGTGATGGGTGGTCCAATTAAACAAGCAACTCCTTCAAAAAGTAATAACAATCCGAAGGCATTGGTCAATTTTTCCAGGCCCAAAAGATCCACTAAGATAACCGAAGTCAAGCTTACATAAGCCCCTAAAAATAAAAATAAATATATTTTGTATGCTCCCATTTTAAATTTTTTTTTCATTTTTATTGATTTCTAAATCAAGGTTTGATTTGATTTTTTAAATCGTAAATTTTATTTGATTTTCTAAATCATAAATTTGATTTAATTTTCTATATCATATTTTTTTTCTTAAATCTTGTTTTACATTTTTTACTTTCTGGATCAGATAGATCAATATAAGATTGAAATGGTGGATATTAAAAACCCAGTTTTGTAGCCAAAATATTTAGGATTGAATTACACATGAAAACGTATTATGTGTGCTATTTTCAGTTTAAAAAGTTTTTATAACTTACTAACTAACTATCCGTTCTTCGCACGGGGTGAATAAAAAAAGAAGAAAAAGATCAAATTGGTACTGAGTAACAGCGCAATCTTTCTCAAAACTGAAAGGCATATGCCGACACAATAAAAGAGCTTGGACACACATACAGACTTTCATTTTTATACATATAGATAAGCTTACAATAATTCCTGGTATATAGCCTATACTACTATATAGTAGTGGTAAAATGTTTTTCCCAATTGTCACTAAACTTTCTTGTGTAAACTTGTAATGATTACCACTGACCCACATCTAAAGTACTGTTTAAAATAATTTGCTTTGACCAGAACTGTGTAGTCTCTAATCGATCTTCAACTCCGGACTTCCTGAGAGCCCGATTTCAACTTTAGTGCTATTAAACTTATCACCGAATCCTTGGAAATTATTTGTAGTATTTTACATTATCTTTTTAATTAACTTTGTAATATCTTATAATGATCATAACTTTACAATAATTATTAGAGTTATAGTGATATTACCATTAATATTTATCTAAATTTTTTATAAGAGATCAAACCTTACTTTTAACTTATAGACCTAACTTTTATCTAAACGAAGTCAAACTAATCAATCAGACTTGGTAACCTGCGCAATTGGCATCAACTTATCGGCTCTGTTTGGGCGTATGATTTACTTTTTGAAATTATTTAGGTATATAAGTGATAATTATTTCAAATACGCACCTGCAGTTGCACCAAAGACTGCTGAATATAGAGCCATTGGATAATAAGATGTGCAAAATGAACTGAGAGCTGTAGATAGTCCGCAGAGAGTAAGACTTGCATTGTACAGCCAAAGGCGGTTGATACAGCTACGATCAGACATATAACCTAATATGACTCTGCCAATAGTATTGGCAATACCAATTACCGACAACAAGTAACTCGCATGTACATCATCAGCAATATTCATGCCAATCGCTCTGTCTTTTATGTACACAAATGGAACATTAAATCCAATATTTGTAAAAAAATTCGAAAAGCCAAACATGAGGAAAATGATGTCACCCATGAGTTTAAAGTTCATCATTTCTTTGAAAGCATCTCTCATGGATGTTGGCCACAGTTTTGCAAGAACACGAGTCCAAAGGGTTTCTTGCCCTTTGATGGCATTTTTAGTTTCTTCATCCACTTGCATGTTGTACAGGTAGAGATTAGAGTTCTGTGGAATATTTCCACTGTAAAAAATGTCTTTTCTGGCTAACGGAGCTGTTCTCAAGCGTAAGGAAGACCGTCTTGATGAGTTTGTTCCACAGCTGAGCGTCATGGAAGTAGCATTGCGAATCTCTTGATTGCTCGGTGAATTCCTTGTTTGATTATTGATACCAAGCAGTGATGAAGAATGCTGTCTATAGTTTTCACCTTTTAATGGTAACAGGCAAATTTCTCCATTAGTTCCAATTGTACCTAATAAAAAAAAAAAAATTGAGAAGATTTTTAATCACAAAAACACATTTGGAGCAGCAATATCGTTCGACCACGAAGTCTCAACATAATATATAAGTATGTTTGCATGTCATAAATTTTTTGAAAATCATTAATCCTTATTTGAGAAAGTCGTAAATGTACATATATATATATATNATATATATATATGTGCATGCAACTGAGTATGCCTGGGCACATAATTTAATGCAAAGGCTAAACGACCGGAGATTCTCACAAACCGTTAACTTGCCTGAAGGTACTTCTTAGGAAAGGAAAATACTTTTAGTTCGTTCTCTAGAAGAAGGCGCAACTCTGAATTATTAAGAAGTTTAATTAATTTCTTATTTATTTTATTTCCCTCAAGAATTTTTCAAATACGTAATTTATAAAACATTCTTTAGGTTGGCTGGTTACTTAAGCAAAACTCCCGACTCTGCTAAGTTGCATCAAACGCAAAGTAATATTGTAGAATCTAATACACTCTCGTAAAAAGCGGTCCAATGCTTTTATGAGGCAGATAGTACTATAATACGGTGAAAATTAGCTGCAACCTTAATAAGGTGCTAAATTGAACCTTGTTATCGTGGAATCAAGTTTAAGAAGTAAGATAATGTGGTTCAGCTATGCAGCGTATTTAGATTGCAACATATTTGAACAATATAATGGTTCAACACGCTCCAAAGTTTCTATTAGCATGGTGCATGTTTATGTCATCGAAACAGCTGTAATTGTCTATTTATAACTGTACTCAAGTTTGTTATGTCTTTAATCGAGATTATTTGTTTGAATCTACACTGTCCATCCGAAAAACTGTTGAATTTGTCCATGATATATAATATGTGAAGGGTGAAACAATAATAGCGTTATCGACTTCCAGTCAAAGTAATGTCAAGTTTTTGCTAATCTTTATGGTTGAGATTTGTACATAATTTTTTTAAAAGTAATCGGATAAAAAAATTTTCATAAATACTGGATATTGAAAAAAAAAGTATCACAAACCATTTGGAAGTGATCCTTTCCTCAGGAAGCCATTTCCATTGCATGGAAGATTCGATGAGATGGAAGCATGTGTCATCCTTCTCACTACTGTCTTTTTCTCAGTCAGAGGTCTGAACAAACAGCCAAAAACGCAGCAGTTCAGAACGAAGCCAGCAGTGACCAGCATTGCACCTTTCCACCCCAAAGAACTCACCAGCCATTCCGTGATTGGAGCCAAGAGGGATGTCCCAATACCAGAGCCACAGACAGCGATTCCAGTCGCAAATGCTCTTTTTTTCTCGAAATAGCAAGTTACGCAGACAATGGCTGGTAAATACATCAGTCCAAAGCCAGTACCTTTTTAAGGGAGAAAATTTATTACAGTTATTTTGATCAATGACAAATTAAAAGCACTTTAAAATAGTTCATGAAATTAATTGTCGTTAGCCGCTTTTGACGACAAGTTTGGTCACCTTTGAAAATTGTCTTGAGCAATACATAAACTTGAATCGTAAACAAGGCTAACGCCCAGCACAACTTTATTTAAATAGCCTAGTTCTTCAAACTCTCCTCCAATCCTAACACCCTAATTAGTTTTAAGCAATGCATTAACCAAACTTTTTCACCGTTCAGCTGATGCCCGTGACTTTGCGATGTGTCCGTGATGTTGTCAAAGTTCTTCATGTATTGAATTTCAGCAATTTTAATAATTTGAAATCTAACCGGCAACCTTTAAATCACACAAACCACCGTAAGTAGGAGATCGAGACATATCAGCATAGTAGGTAGGAAAAGTACTAAAATTATTTCCATGTCGTAAGATTAGATAGAAAACTTAAACCAATGTTCTATTACGTACTGTACTACTTCCTCACACACCTCTTGAGCCATAACTTGAGTGTCTAACATATATATGCTACAGCTCGAAAAAGGTAATACCATCACCAATAATTGGGTAAAAAGTAACGGTAAAAACTCGAAGTCTGGTAAATCTTAGCTTTTACCGAAGTGGCTTAGTAAAAGTCCGGAGTATGCTTTACTATTACTCCATTTCCCTGAATAGGCTTACTATGCTTCCAGTTACCAAGCCTTTGCTGTAAAACCTAGGTTTTTCCACGCTTCGGTCTTTTTAATTAATATATATACTACCCTACAATAATAATAAAAAAAACACTTCCAGTTTTTTATTCTTTTTTTAATTTTTCAAGAAATATTTAGAGTATTATTTTATAACTTTAGAAATGTTTCGTTCAAGCGATTTCTTATATTAATCAATAAATTTTAAAACTTTCAGAAGTTTGAGGGACCGACAATAAATTACTAACACAAACAAGGATTTTTGAACACACTGGGGCAAAAACCAAACAATAAGCTTGTAGTTTGCATTGATTACTTTGATTGTTATTAGCAAAAAGTACATAAAATTTCGTAAATTTAGCTTAAATATTAAAGTATATGAACATTTTTATAAAATAAAAATAAAAAACTACTTTTTTTGTCTTTCGGATTTTTATTATAATTTTAAAAATATTCTATAAAATTAAAAAAAATTAACAAAACCATCGTTTTGAAATTTGGAAAAAAATCGTTAAAAAATGCGCAATCTATGAGCATTTAAAGTAGTTCTTTTGCACTGCGTATGCGCGAAAAAATGTAAAATTTTTTTCTTCATATTTTTGTTGCGAATCGTTCTTAATAATTAATGAAAAAAAAGTTCAATTTGAATATCTTGGAAGTTTAAGGAGTTTCTAAGTAGTTATTGTACTATTTAAAAGAAAGCTCTAAATAATAAGGGATTTTCTACACATTTTATTTTGTACTATAATTCATCAAGTTCTATTGAAAATGACATTGGCATTGTAGATGATCATCTCTCATGTTTTCTTTCCTTTTACCATCACATTTAGGTGTATGGACTTTTTTGTGAGATATTATCATTTGTTATCAAATTTGTCTTATACTAATGAAATTTGTGGTAAACCCCTTATCATTTAGAGCTTTTCCTTTAAAAAGTACGAAAACTACTTTGAAAATTGCTGGAAACTTTTTAAATTTTCAAGATGTTCAAATCAAATGTTTTTCATTAGTTACTAAGTACGATTTACTACAAAATTATGACAAGTATTTTTTAAATTTTTTTTTCTCGCGCATGGGCAGTATGAAAGAACTACTTTAAACCTTTATATCTTGCGAAAAAAAATTTTAAAAAATTATAATTTTATGCAGGCAATTTTGTTGTTAATTAAAAATTGCTCCAAAATTTTTTTGCAATTTTATTAAATGTCTTTAAAGTTATAAGATCACAAAACAAAAATATAAGTCTTTTTTTTGTAAAAATATCCAAATCTCCATAAACATTTAAGCTAGGTAATTGCAATATAAAAGCTAGGTAAGCAATAAAAGTAATTGCTACAAGTTACAAGCTTTCTGATATATTTTCTGCCCTGGGGTGTTCAAAATACTTGTTTTCGTCCATAATTTATTACCGATCTAGAATTTTCCACGCGATAGGCGTTTACGTTAAGTTGTCAGGCAAATGATCATTTTGCCAGGAAGAAGTTATGGATAAAAAATAATGCAATCGTGTCTTTTTACCTGTGCATAATCCTATACTGAAATATAGGAATGTGATGTTTGGTGCGAATGTGCTTACAATTAAGCCAAAACAAGCAAGTAATGCCCCTACAATTGTCACAGTTCTACATCCAAACTGGTTTGTCAATCCACTTGCAAATGGACCTGAAATACATACATACAAAATGTGTTATATTGAATTTTTTTTTTTTACATTGCTATAAAAGTGAGTTCTTCATTTTTTTAAGTACTTATGCGTTAGTCGGCAAAAACCTTTTTCTTTCGTCTCTCCTCCCCAAATTGATTTCCATTTTTAGGTCACCCAGTATTAGACTTACTTAGAAACAACTTAACAAGTAATAAAGTAAACACGATAAAAATTACCCATGCAGCGTGTCAAAATTCAGAAAGATTGCTAAAAAGTGAAAATTTTTGAAAACCATTCATTAACTTTGAGATTTATCGCTAAATTTTTTTACACTTTGCGCATATATAGTACAAGTATTGCCCTACAAATTGTGCAAAGATGCAGAAAGATAATTCACAAGTGTTCGCGTAATCGTCGAGAACATTCGCATAATTTTTATCTTTCAGAAAAATATCCTCACTTTTACAAGGAAGCTTGTCTTTACTGTTTCCCCCATGCAACTTCAACTTTTCATATTCTAAGAATCCTTTTATCAACTTATCTCTATAACTTCCTTTGCAGAGTCCAAATTTTGTCACTCAGCATTCAACTTCATAAAATCTGATCGAGTTTGAGTTTTTGGCAACTGGTATAAATGACAACTGTATATTCAAGGGTGGTCTATCTATGAGTTTGCTACATAAGAAGAATATATTTAAGAAAGTTTTAACCAGGATTTAGTGAGATTCTGGGATTCAAAGGTAGTCTCAGAGGGATTTCTTCAGAAGTAAAAGCAAGGCAAGTGGTTTCTGTGCTGTCTAGTTCAGTATTAAAAGAACTGTATCCTATCACTGCCAAATTTTACGAAACTAAGTTAAAAGGTTAAGAAATTTAAGATTCTGTACCAATTTTACATCACTATAATGATCGTTTTGTTGTAAAATATGAATGTAAGGTAACTCAATCAAACTTTTTACAATAATAATTGAAATATTGTCATTAAAATGAGAAGGAAATGAAAAATGTACTTTTTCAAGTTGAGGTTTGTAATGTTTTCTAGGTCATCCACAACTTTTCTGCATAATTTTAAAAATTACCGCTTCCTTGTTGCATAATTTATAGGACCCTTACAAGCTATATAATGTAAGAATATTCTAATTTAGAGTCTTATTATAAAACAAAATAGTTATCTCACCTACGCAGAAAGTTGTTCCAACCATAATCGATGCCACCCAAGATGTTGCTTGATTACTTTCACCAAAGTATTTTAGAAATTCTACATGGAAAATACCGAATGTGTAGGTAACGCCATCTACTATAACGTGAATCATGAAAGAACAAAATACTATCACCCATCCCCATCCGCCGTCAGGTGGCTCTGGCATCGAGACTTCCACTTCCTCCTCTTCCTCTTCTTCCATGTGTTGATGATTGTTAACTTCTCGTGAATTGGCAACAGAAACATTGTAGTCTTTCTTAGTTGCAGTCATTAGTAGTATGTAAAGAAGTGAGACAAGGCTTGGTTGATATCATAAGTTGAGCATGTGTTGCGAAACTGGAAAAAATCAATTGACATAAGTAATAAAACAAGGATATATTTATTTTCAGAAGTAATTTGTATTCTCTATTAAGACAAATTCGCCTTTGCGAAAAACTTTTTGATTGAAAGTAACTTGCGCTTGCAATACAGAAAAACTTCCCAATGTAAGCCTACCTAACGTCAATAAATTTTATACTGTTTTTTCTTTTTATTTTATTTTATTTTCTGTTTTTACGTGTTATTTTTACTTATTGTGTTTTATTTTATTTGTTGTAATTTTTGTAAAAAAATTTTTTTGAGTGCTCTCCTCACACTATTGTATTAATATATTTAGCTTTGGCTATATTGATACAATATCAGAAAGCACTCTTTTTTGCGGATATAATCGTGTGGGCTGATGAAAAGATAATATCTTTTATTTTCCGTTTTTTTTTTAAATTTCATCCTTTTTTTCTTTTTTTTTTTTTTAATCAGTTGTTTGTTATTTTTTTCATTATTATTTCCCCCCCTCCCTTTTGCATATGTCTATAATTTTCCTTTGTTTTATCTTCCTTTTGAACTTATCTAATGAGTTCTGTTTACTTGCAGCTTATGCGTAATAAATGAAACTTATTGTTTTTCTTAAACTCTCTTCTTGTTTTCTTGTATTTATTTATTTTGTTATATATATATATATATATATATAATGGCGAAAGGAATAGTACCAATTAATTACCAATAACTTCTTTTATTGGCTTTTGGTGATGATAACTGATTGACTTGCATATAATTTGCAGGTTAGTTTCACCCAAAATGTTTTCCGCGAAAGAAAGTAAATGGAAAATTTATTACAACACATGACTATAACGCGCTAAATACAAACTTATTTGATGTGCATTGGTCACCTTTGGTTGTCCTCATCGATCAAACTGCTGCCTGCTGCATCATTGTTTTAAGTGCCTGGTTCTTCTTTTTGATATTGTCTTTTCATTCATCTATCTCAAACCGTGGATTAGAAAAATGAGACTACCCATTTAATTAGAAATAAACACAGAATAGTCCCTAAGATAAAAAACGGTGCAAATCAGAAACGGGCCTAGTGTGTTATCAAAAATAGTTCCACAGTACAACTACAAAGTGAAATTTCGTGATTTCTCTCATACTTCAAACTAAATGAAATTAAATTTTAAACAACTTGAATAGGTTATTCAAAATTAGCACTAAAGTAGCGTAACTAATGTGAAGAATTGTTGTAATGCATTTAAACTGTTGCCACGTGGCAACCAACGCCTTTATCGATAAATTACTCTAATTTCTCTGGCACGGACGCATGGGAAATTTTCTTTTTATCTCTACAAAAGTTTCTTCTTTTCAAATATGCCGATGATTTATAAATTGCACGTAATTTATCAGTTATTCGTTAAAACAAAGGGTACCTATTTAATTAATTTAAAACATAAAAAGTAAAATATTTTAATGTATATTTAGACAATAAATATCTGCACTTTATTTTTTAGATCACATAAGTAACCTAACCAAGAAAAATTTTGAACAGCGCATCTAGATTTCGGAAGCCTAATCCATCAACAGTCAATGCGTTCAGTATAAATTTTTCATTACTGATCAGATAGTTTTGTTGACATATTTGCGTCCGGCTTATCCTTAGAGCCTATGTCTTTTCTATCAAACCCATTTACAAAGTTTAAGAAATATTTATACTTCCTCAATGAAATCTCGAATAATAAATTATGTTTTAATCCAAAACTTAATTGATGGATGTAAGTTGAAAGATGCTGATAAGAAAGATAAGATTTAATTAAGATATTTAGTTTTTTTGTTTGACATCTTATCTACATAACATTTGTTATTCACTTCAAAGGAGAAGTCATGTAAATGATTGGACAACCAAATAAACAAACTGAAATAAACTCATTGAACCTGTGTCTTAGAGTTGTTAGCGGTCAAAGTTCCTAGTCCATTGGATCACATGCTAATCATAAGACGCTAGTTTGTAATCTAATAATTAAACTACATCAAAAGCTATGCATATCAAAGATAATGATTTGTTTGCTTGAGTTAGTTCTGTAAAATGCAAGTTGGTATAAATAGCACGTTTGCCATGATTTTAATGGCCTGATTATTTTTTATAAGATATCATTGATTTATATTGAAAATATTTTTAAATACAACTTATAAATGTATTCACAATAGTGGAATTTTTTTTAAAATCTGATTTCATTGATCTTGAAGGTTTTATCCAAATAATGAGAGAATTTTGTTATTATATAATATTCAAAATTAACTAAACAATTTTAAAAAAAGTGACTAAACATAGATAAAAGTTTAGTGAAACTTATAAATTATAATTATCCATTAGATTTATGCAAAAAATTGCTGTTTAATTAAAATATTTCAATTATATCCCGTTAGTTTTATGTTTAATTATATACAAATACTTTTAAAACTTATTAAATAAGTAATTTATGAATATAATTAATCAGGAAAGATTTGTTCTGCCAAGAGTAATTTAGAATAATTGATTTTTTTGATATTCTGAGATCTAAATTTATTTATTCTTCATTTAATGTCTAGCTGACAAATTGGATCTTTGTCTTTAGGAATTGATGAGGCTGCTTAGCCTTAGCAAAAGTATCTATGATTTTATTTATTCAGTGATCAGTTCGTCAAAATTATCTAATTATTTTTTAAAACTTTTAGTTAGAAATATTAAAGATTTCTATTATAGCTGGGTTTTTAAATAATCTTTAACATTCATATATCTTATCTGAACTTTGATTTTAAACGTAAAGAAAAAAAATAGATTTAGTAAATCTTGATTGATAATTTAAGTAAATCCCATTTTTTTAAATTTTATTTTGATTCTTGCTGACCTTGATAAATAATAATGTAAATTTAGATTTTGAGACAAATATGCAAGATTTAAGAAACTGACGACGTTTATTAGACGTATAAATTCGATTCTATTTGTTTTTTAATACACCCTGTTAGTAGCGTTACTTACGTCAACTGCACTTAAAAAAATCAACTTATACTTTTAAAAAAAGGCTAGCTGGATTACCTTTAATATTTACTATGTTGTCGTTGTTCATGATGCAAGCAGAAACTATTTTTTTCCTTATTTAACGTAACCTGTTTTGCTTGCAAAAAAGTTTTTCTTAATTTTTTTTTTATGTAGATCATGCTTATACTTAAATGAAAATTCCTAAGCGAAACAGACTTATAAAGACTGATTTGGGTGATTTTTAAATGATGATTTTATCACAAAGAAATAAAATAGAAAACCATAAAAATTGTCAAAAAGAAGAATTGTATAAACGAAAAAACAATACAAAAGATAAAAAACAAATTTAAGAAAAACTTTTAAAACGTAATTTTTAAAGGATATTTGATAAAAATAACATGGCACACAAATATAGAAATGAAAACTAAGTGAAATATTTTTAAAGAAAGAGGCATAATGTTCTTAATATTATGATTGAATTCTTGTCTTTGCCAAAAACAACATATAGCAATTGTTCACAATTGCTATTAATTCAATTGTTAAATAATTCACTATTTAATATTCAATTGTTAAATAATTCACTATTTAATATTCAATTGTTAAATAATTGAATGACGAATTATAATCCAATAATTAATCAAAATCAAATTTTGGAATGAATTGACATAACTGATACCGATAAAAAAAAAATTTATGACTCTGGCTCGAAAGATTTAAAGGCGAAAGAACTAAGCTGTATAAATTACAGTCTCAAATTGCTGTAAAATACCGGCTCTCGAAGAGTCGGTACTTTTTACCGTAAAAATCATTTTTACCGGTCCACTTTAGGGGACAAAAAATCTAATATACCGTAATTTTTATAGTAATAATTGTAAGGAAATCACTGACTTTAGTTAAGTAACTACGGTACAATATTAAGGTAAGAATGGATATTACGGCTGATAGATCCAAAGTGCCCCTACTTTATACCGTAATTTGATCTAGAAATGTTTACGGTGCGAATAACTGAAAGTTTTTAACATTGAATTTTAATTTTGTTTTCAAAGGAGAAAAAAAAAATTTATCAATTAAAAGGGTTTTTTATTCATAATTGTGCACTACGACAATTAAAACAGTTTTTGATGTATCTTCTTAGTACTAATGCTTTAATTTAAACTAAATACATACTGAAAATAGTGAAAGAACGAGAAATAATGAAAAAATATACTAATGAAACAAAGAATAAGAAAATGCATTGATTAGATTTTTAAAATAATTATAATTTTAAAATAAATCATCCGAACATAAATGACTGATACGTTTTTTTTCTGTTGCGAAAAACAATCTATCAAATTACATATTTTTTTGTTATTTATAGCTACAGTTCACGCAAATAGTTAAATGTTGCTTAGATACTAATTTTGGCATGAAACACCTAAACATAAAACTGTGACGTTCCGAAAGGTAAAGACGCATTTCGGCTTGACACTAAAAATTAATAGATCATACAAGTTTGCGTATCTTTCTCAACCGAACTTTAAAATGAATTAAGATTTATAACCAATAGGAATTATTACTTTATTCATTTCTTGTAATATTTATTTCATTCCGAAAGATTTAAATTTAAAAATATTTATACTCAAGTTTCCTTATGCATTTTATTTTTCATTGCTTAGCATTTTTGTTAATTTTTTTTTTCCTTTATAGATAAGCTTGTTAGCTTGCTGGAGAATAATAAGAATGAGTTTTTTTCCTACTTTATTTATAACGGCATCTATTATAATACCTAACTATTCTGAAGTAAAAAAATAAAATACAACATTTATGTACATACTGTAATAAATTCCAGATCAAATTACGATAAAAAAGTACCGGCATGTTAGGTGCATTATCCGTAAAATCAATTTTACCGTGAAATCTATTTATATCGTAAAATATACCGTAATTTTTATCGTAATAGTTATTTTATTCGAGTGGTTCAGTGATTTCGCGGTAATTATTACTCTAATAATTAAGGTATATCAAAATTTTTGTTCCATATCTTGTTCCGGTAAAAATGGATTTTACAGTAAAAGAAACCGGAACTTTTTACCGTAATTTAATACTAAATTTTCGAAGTACAGATATTGTTATATATCTGTTGCATGTTATCTGTTATTGTTATATACTATATTGTTATATTGTCTTCAATTTCAAATACTTTACGCCCTTATTGCTTAGGAATTCATGCA